GCCCATGACTTTTGTGAAGCTAGTTATTTAGTTTTACAGCTGAGTAAATTAGGACAAGAGCAGGATAAATTTCCCAAGATCACCTAATAAGTTGCTGGTAGTTTTACATCTGTAAATCATTGCCTATGGTACTTAGCCATGAAATCGATTTTTGTTATTAAGGTGGGAGTTAATTCTAGTCTTATGCTGGTTATTTTTAACAAGTGAAAAGATTATGCATTATAATACTCCTGGTGGTGTTTGTTTCTAAACAAAATAATGATAACTCAGCTTCTCGGGTATAATCATTTTATAGTACTAATTACCATCCTCAGTTAATATCTGCAAAGTAGTACTGAGTCTTTCAAATGTTATAAACCTAAAACTGTAGAAATCTCAGCATTAGAGGTGGACATAATAGATTTTTGTCTGAGAGAGGGAAGGAAGTGAGTGGGAGGGAGGACTGGAGCATGTGAAAAAATCATGATTGTTCAACTGGATAATCTTATAATTTAGGGGCGCCTGTGTGGCGCAGTTGGTTAAGCCTTGGACTGTTGATCTCGGCTCTGGTCATGATCTCAGTGTCATGAGATGGAGCCCTGTGTCGTCAGTCTCATGCTGGGCGTGGAGTCTGATTAAGATTGTTTCTCCCTCTGCCCCCTTCCCTTACCCCCCCACCCCACGCACTCTCTCTCTTCTCTCTCTCAGAAAAAAAAATCTTATAGTTTAGCAGGAACATCTGGCCCTTTCACCAATGTCATCATGCTGATGATTTATCAAAGAAACCCTTCTGTGCTAATAGCAACTAGTAAAATGTTGGGGCTATAGGGGTGATATTTTTCTTAAATTGTAAAACTGTGATCCAGGAATCCTTGGGAAGTAGAACTTGTGAGCTTTAAAACTGATTTAGTTGTACAAGTTGATACATTTTTAAAAAACACCATTATGTGCAGACTAGAAACCAGGCAATAGTAGGAGGCAACTACCTGTAAAAGAAATAAGTGAAATGGTCACTTACCTTCCAACCTGTTAAGAATTGGCATACCTGGGGAGCCTGGGTGACTCAGTTGGTCAAGTGACTGCCTTCTGCTCAGGTCATGATCTCAAGGGTCCTCGGATGGATAGAGCCCCATGTCGGGCTCCCTGCTCATTGGGATGGGGTGGGGGGCTGCTTCTCCCTCTGCCCCTCCCCCCATTTGTGCGCTCTCTCTCTCTCAAATAAATAAATAAAATCTTAAAAAAGAATTGGCATACCTACAAGAAATCTGTTTCTGAAAATCTATATCTAAATAACATCATTTGAAACAAAAAAAAAATTAGAAATAACCCATATGTGTTCACCAGCATGAAAATGGATCAGAAAATTCTTTACACATACAATGGAATATTACCTCATAATACAGCAGCCAAAAGGATAAACTATAGCTGCACACTACAGTGTGGATGAATCTTTTTAAGAATTAAAATTATACATTGAGGGGCATCTGGGTGGCTCAGTCATTAAGCATCTGCCTTTGGCTCAGGTCATGGTCCCAGGGTCCTGGGATCGAGCCCCGCATCGGGGTCCCCGCTCAGCGGGAAGCCTGCTTCTCCCTCTCCCACTCCCCCTGCTTGTGTTCCCTCTCTCGCTGTGTCCCTCTCTGTCAAATAAATAAATAGAATCTTTAAAAAAAAAAAATTATACATTGAAGTTAGCTATTTGAAGAAGTTCTAGAATAAGTCATTTTAGAAATTAATTCCCACCTTCATTTATCTTTTCACACTACTGAATGTATCAAGTGTTCTTAATATGCCCAACTAAGTTAATGGATGAGGAGGAAACCTATTAAGATGGTTATTTCCAGCTCTTTTCCTCAGAGTGGAGGTATAGTAAGTAGTATATCCTTCACGGTGATCAGGAAGAATCTGGTTGCAGCACACAGCAGGAAAGATCTGTGCTCGGTTCTCAGTTTCTCAGAAAATACTTATTATAAATCTAACTAGAATGTATAAGAGTAAGTGGAATATATGGTTTGTAAAGTGTGAAAGTTAATAAAAATTTCCTCTTCCTAGAATCTTAAATTGAAATTCATATTTGGGAAACTTTATAGGGATGTTGCCTGTGGTATTTTGGTTTTGCTTTTTGTTTTGTTTTTATTTTCCGTAATTAAAATTTAATCCTTGGGTTGGCGTGCTGACATTTCAAGGTATGAAAGAAAACGTGGACTTTGGTTTGGGGACATTAAGACAGATCTTGGGGAGCACCTGGGGGGCACAGTTGGGTAAGCGTCTGACTCTTAATTTCGGCTCATGATCTTAGGGTTGTGAGATTGAGACCGACATGATGGGCTCAGTCCGGAACGTACAGCCTGCGTGGGATTCTCTTGTTCCCCCCTCTCTCTACCCCCGCCCCCCCAAAGGCAGATCTTGAAATCCCAGATACGCTGCTTGCTAGTTGTGTGATGTTGGGCCAGTGACTTGGCTCGACTTTGTTTTTTTTGTATGTAAAGCGGAGATACCAATATCTGCTTTGCAAGATTCTTGTGAGGATTTGATACAGTATTTATAAAGCACCTAAAGGAAAATAAGAGAGTTAGTAAATGATAGTTACCTTAAGTCATAATTTTTCCACATTGTATAACAGGGACATTGAGCATGACAAATCAGTCTTATAATAGTAGCTGAGTAAATATTCTTTAAAAGGAATGTGACTTCTGACTTTGACATGTGAATCTCATTTGCTTTGGATCAATTTTAGTGTGGAAAATTTGAGCTGTGTAAGCAGCTAGAACATAGTATTATTCAGATCATCACCTTGGATTTGAATTTCACCTAAGCCTGTTAGTTCTGTTTTAGGGCCACAGACTATACCTCAGTCCTCCTCACAACTACCTTATAAATATGTGCCTTTATTCACAGGTAGGATCGAATGAGAAAAAAGTTCCAAGGTTTGTCTCACTTATGACTTAATGTTACCTTTACATTCTAATATTTACCTAGTAAAGACCCAAATGTAAAAACAGTGCTAAACAATGTTTAGAATTATTTTTATTAGTTTACAAATAGTGCCTGTTTTCATAGTAAATTCATTGCTTGTGAACAATGGAACTGTTCAAGCTGAAGATTCAAGGGTGTTTACCTGCAAGCAGGGGCGCCTGGGTGGCTCAGTCGTTAAGCCTCTGCCTTCCGCTCAGGTCATGTGGGATCGAGCCCCCACATCGGGCTCCCTGCTCCGCGGGAAGACTGCTTCTCCCTCCCCCACTCCTCCTGCTTGTGTTCCCTCTCTTGCTGTGTCTCTGTCAAATAAATAAATAAATGCTTAAAAAAAAAAAAAAGGTTTGCCTTAGAGTGGAAATACAGGTTTTCCTGCTCACTCACGATTCTTATTTCTGAAATGACTGCTAATACCTCCTCAAACGGATAGATAAGGGAAACTCAAGGCTAGCTCCTGCAGCAGCGTTTTTCCCTCCCTTTGGGCTTCCCTCCTGGTGTCTTCTACTTGGAGAGAAGAACCTTTGAAAGGAGTATTATTAACCAGGTTTCTCTGCTTATTGACCTAGGTGTTCTTGTTACGCTGGTGTGTTGTAATCAATCCCTATCTGTTCAGGGTTAGTAAATGCTTCTTGGCTGGTTGGTAAAAAGATTGTCATGGTTTGTGACAGGCTCAATTCAGGTATTGGTGGACCCAGGAAATCTCAAAGCATTCAGATTTCTTTTTTGTTTTCACCATTCTATATTTTAAGAATGTATCAGTGACCTACAGTCTTGGTGCCGTATGTACAAATAGGCAGGGCTCTTTGGCATTGTGATTCCAGGAGCTATTCAGTGTAAGTTTCATTTAAAGGCTTTAATGACTGCTTATAAGGTTTTGAAGTATTGCATAGCTTAAGGTTTTAATGTATAAGATGGAAATGTGTATGGCTAGAAAGGAATCAACCTGTAATTAAATGTGAATGTGTTCAATGAAGGCTTGTGTTCAGTATTTGGATACATAAATTCTGCCTCCTTGAAGAGGTGATCTTGTCTTACTGCTGCATGTCCAGTGCCTGGATTGCTGCCTGGCCTGTGAAATACTCTTAGTGAATATTTACTGAATGAATAAATGAATGAATGAATAGCTCTGGGTCCAGATGTAGGAGAATGGTGCAAGAGATTTAAATAGAAATGAATAAACCTGGGATATTTTGTTTTCCTTAATAACTTGCTAATTTTCTTCCTAATTATAAATAATCATATATGTATATGCATTTTGACATTGTACCAGCTTGCTTTCCCTCTACCAGTTTGAGAAATGCCTGTTTATCTAGAGTCTGGTTCTTAGCATTTTTTTCTTTGAGCTCAGTCTCAAATTAGGATGAATCATTTATGAAATTTTAATATTATATTTATTTATTTATTATTTTTTTATTTATCTGACAGAGCGAGGCACAGCGAAAGAGGGAACACAAGCAGGGGGAGTGGGAGAGGGAGAAGCAGGCTTCCCACCTAGCAGGGAGCCTGATGCGGGACTCGATCCTAGGACCCTGGGATCATGACCTGAGCTGAAGGCAGACGCCTGACAACTGAGCCACCCAGGCGCCCCTTAATATTATATTTAAATGTTACATAGCATGTATATGTATTGTATATAAAATACAATACTCAAGGAGAATTTTTTTTTTAGTTCTCAGAAATCAAGGTATCCTTCTAATTAGGAAATCCCTAGAATGAGAGACTTTTAAAAATAAACATAGTTTTATCTTCTGATTAGAAACATAATACATACTTTATGCAGAAACTTGGTAAATACAGCAACATCAAAAGGAGGGGTTGCCATTAATTGGAAGGGATTTTGCTTTTTTACCGTCAAGTTTTTTTCTTGCACTTCTGTTCAGTCTAGAAAGTCAGGTTTTTGTACCTTGGGGAAGGAAATTATAAATGCCTAAGAGTATGATATTTAACTTGAAAATCTGTTTTTGCTTTTTCTTAAAACACCACCTTTAGAGAGTAAAGAATTTTAATAGCTAGGTATATGAGAGTAAAGATTAGAGGTGAATTATGTACTTGTTAAATTCATCTGTCTCTTTTATCATCTCTCCTATGGAGTATTACCCAGTGTTAATTGTCTCCCTGTTATCCAGCCCTTTTATCCCAGAGTGAGGGAATTGATGAGAATATGTGCATTGTGTTATGTCTGATCACAGTTTGACTAGCAGAGTCTGGAAGTGGGTTGTACAGGATGAGAGCAGCAGCCTAATTGCTCTCCCTGCATCAGCAGCATCTATAAAGCATCCTGGGAATTGCTCGCCCCATGTTCAGAGCAGCTGGTCACATGAGCCTGGATTTTCAGTTCAGTTCATTAGTCAGCCATTTTGGTCAACACCCTGCTTACTGCGCACAACCAATCCTATTAGAACTCAGCATCCCGGCTCATCTGAGCAGATCCTGGAAGTGATTTCTGCAGTTCAGGATTTTTTTTAAGCTAAATTGAAAATATTGGTTTATTTTTCGGGGTTGGGTTTTGTTTTGTTTTGTTTTTGTATTTTTTTTTTTTCTGCACAAAGGAGGATTTTTCACTTATTCATGCAGAGGCCAGTTTTTTAAAGCCAGCTAAGGTGGCATCGGCTGTGCAGGATTTAAAGCCGATAGCTCAGCTGAAAAAGGAGGGGGTAGGGAGGAGAAGATAAAAGGAGAGAAGCTAGGAGAAGACCAGGCATCATCTTATTTTGCTATGTGGTAGGAACTGTCTATGAGAAAAGGTAGTATAGAATTGTTCATCTTGAGCAATTGCTTCTTAAACCGTAGGCATTTTTCCTTGTGATTTGTTTTCATCTCCCCCACCCCTTTTCTTGAGAGCTTTGTTCCAGAGCTCTGGATTTGGGTTTTTTTGGTGAGGGGGTTTTATTTATTTTTGTTGGGGTGAGTGTGTGTGTGAGTGTGTGTGTGTGAGTGTGTGTTGTGGTCCCAGCTGAGTCATCATGTCTGCTCTGACGCCTCCAACCGATATGCCAACCCCCACCACTGACAAGATCACACAGGCTGCCATGGAGACCATCTACCTTTGCAAATTCCGAGTGTCTATGGACGGAGAATGGCTCTGCCTGCGAGAGCTGGATGACATCTCACTTACACCTGACCCAGAGCCTACCCATGAAGGTATGGTCAGACCCTGTCCGCTAGTATCTCACCAGCATCCTCATTGTTACAGTAGGCTGGGAGGGTCAGGGAGAGGTAGGAAGAACCCATACTCTAACGTGTTAGCAACCATGAAAACCTTTCATCCTTACCTACTACCCAGTTCCCCTTCTGTACTTTTGGGGAAAAAAATATTTTTTCCCTGCCCCCTGAGGTATCCTTTCAAAAGATGCTGGTGCCTATTTAGAGCTCTTTGTCTTTATGCCTTCTAAAAAGAACATTGAGGTCACTTATCACATTTGGCCCTAATCGATAATGAAGAAGCTATTAGTATTGATTATATACTAAAATATTATGGAAATTGCAGTAATTCTTAATAGAGTAAGTTAAGACAGCATGACTGTAGGATTGTACATGACATAGTTGAAACATTTGGTGTTTTACCAAGGGGCATCAGAGTATAATGTTAAACAGGCTACGATATCTAGAAAATATCTGGTCAAACATTATCTTTCTTTAATAATATGGACTACAGATGAGAAAGCAGGTTTACATTCAGTGCTTGTTGAATGAATACAGACGCTTAAGAAAGGATAATGCCTTAAAAGGTTAAACCTGACTAATAAGGTAATCTCTTCCCATGGAATCTATTAGCCATTGCTTTTTATAAGTTATTTGTGGTAACTGTGATGACCCATTTGAAATTTCCAGTCAATACCTTTGAGACTTTTGTGGTCGCTTACTTAACTTGTGACTTTCTCCCAGAACCTTTTCTAAATTATCATCAGAGGTTTTCAGCTTATACCCCTTAATTCTCCTAACTCAATGCTGTAAGGAAGAGAATTAATTTGAGTCCTAGATGCAAATATTTTTGTTTTTTATGGAGTGGCCTCTTAGCTGGTGTTTATTCTCTAGCTTTAAAATAATGACAGAAATGCTCACAAATGAGAAATTCTTTATCAACATCTGCCTGGTATTTAGGCATATCTGCAGAATAGAGACCATAAGGTGAGTTGCACATAGCAGATTGGGTTTGGGAAAAGTGATTCCTTGCCCTTGACCTTATATTGCAATCTTATCATGACTCAGATCTCCCCCTTTATTCTGAAAAGGATTTATTTTCCCAGTTGGGCTTAGCCTTGAGAAAGTTTTAGAGCGGATTAATATCACAGAACACAAAGTATTCATTTTGATGTGTCTTTAAGGGTAATATTTAAGTCATTTTTTAAGACCTTTTGCATCCTTTAACAATTGGTTTGTCAGTTGGGCAGCTTCCTTTGGCTCTTAAGTCTCAGAATCAGAACATGCACAAGGATTGGAAGACATCAGCTGGCATTCCATAGAATGCCAGTATTGTTTAAAACAGCCTCCAAAGGTTTAAGAATCTTGAGGGAAGAAAAACACATTTTTAGAAGGCTACCAAGAAGTCTTTTAGCAAATGCCTCAATTTGCATACTTTGTTTTCGAAAATATTCTCATCCATATTGAAAGTAATGCAATATGAAATACTCCTTTAATTATAAAACCCAGTATATCAGTGTTTCAAAAATAATTTTTAACAATTTTAGTACTTTGACTATTTGTTTCTAGAACAAGATTCCTATGAGTGAGCAAAAGTGAGCTGTTCGGTTCATGTAAGCATTTGTAGTGGTGCTGTATGAATCCTTCAAGGGGCAATCTGTGATGGAAAATGTGCGTGGCCTGCAACCTAAGCTCTAGGTGGCACATCCTTTGATTAAGGAAAATAGACAAATAGGGAGTTCCCAACACCTTAGAACCAACTATAGAGGGTGTGGAGGAAAATAGGGAAATGCTATCATTGAATTTTAGAATTTTTGCCTTAAATTGGGCAAGAGAAACAACAATTTCAAATGATTAGAAATGGAAATAATAAAAGAAAGTCCAGGCCCAGGAAGGCGTCTGTAGGGTTAGTGATCTAGGAAACAAGGCGGTGCTTTACAGGGCTTTTATTTCCTTGCTCTACTAGCTAATTCAGTCATTTGGACTCAGGAAATGTCTGCTTTAATATTAATACCAGTGATAATTATTAGGTATAATTTAGCTATCACCAGGCCAGTGATAATGTGAATCTCACCTTGTTGACAAAATGGAGCACCTGGTGCCTGGACACAGAATATTCATACTGTACTTCCCAGCTGACTCATAGAGGGAAAGATATCTGACCACACAACTCCTGCAATGAGGCATCCTGACTCCCACAAGAGAAAATGGGCAAAAAGCATCATATACCCTTGTAAGACGATAATGTAGATTGTGTGTGCCCTCAGCAATAGAAGCTTTGCAGTTTCCAACTTTTGTTTTCTGAAAACAGAGCTCCTGCCTCTCACTCTGCAGCCTAAAGTATAGGCCTAGACCTAGAGTTTCTGCCTAGCTTAACCCTTAAATACATGGGAATAGAAACATTCATTTCATTATTTCAGTGCTTATTGGTAGTTAAGGAGGTGATCTCTCAGTACACTTTTTTAATTTTTTTTTTAAGATTTTATTTATTATTTGTCAGAGAGAGAACACAAGCGGCAGGCAGAGGGAGAAGCAGGCTCCCCACTGAGCAGGGAGCCCAATGCAGGGCTTGATCCCAGAACCCTTGGACCATGACCTGAGCCGAAGGCAGATGCTTAACCAACTGAGCCACCCAGGCGTCCCTCAGTACACTTCTTTTCCCCCAGTACACTTTTTTTAAAACCAGGAGGAAATCTACAAATCTATGATTGTAAGTAGATTTCCCCTAAAGACAGGAGCCTAGGATTGATTCCACAGGAGAGGAGAGGGTTACAAAAAGGGCTTCGTTCAATGAGTGAAACTGGGCTGGACACTGTATATAACTAGGCGATCATCAGGCAGACGTGGGGTGAAGGGGGGACATTTCCAGCAGTACCTGGTGAGCTGGCTGAGCTGGAGAATAGCAAGTAGTTAGGAGTGGTAACTATCTCATTGTAGATTAGGAGGATTAAGTGAGATAATTAATGAAAAACACCCTATATTCGTTAGTTATGTGTGTAATAGTTATTCATAGAGCCACAGTTTGAGCCGCACCACATTCTTAAATACATTACCAATTTAATGTATATTTTTGTTTTTTATAGCTAACTTTTTGGAGCAGTCTAAACTAGTTGTTTACCAGACAGACTAAAGTAATAGTAAGTAAGCTTAAATTCACGTTTTAGCATTGTCCTTTCTTGGACCTCCATAACCAAACAAATAATTGGTTAAAAATATAAGTCAGTTATCAAGCAATACTTATTTTCCTAGTAACCTTTTAAAGAATGGGAATCCGACATTGAAAGACAATGCACACGGATGATCAATTTAATACAATAAAATATACCATCTGGTTACAAAGACAGCTATAGGCTTTGAAATTACTTTTTTGACTTGGGAAACTTCCTTTTCAAATACAGATAATAAGAGACAGACTGTGGAAGAGGAGATCTATTGGGCAGACACAGTGATTTCCAGGTTACTGTAGAGAAATGTATGTGATGGTGGACTTCATACGTGCCATTACTGCATAACTCTGCAGTGTCCCTGGTACTTGCAGTTTGCTTTAGTACTAGTTCATTACAAGAGCTGGCATTTTACTATAATGTATAAAGAGAGAGCTTATCTGAAACATCCGCAAGTGTAGTAATGATGCTGCTTTATATGCAAGGATGTGTTTTGGTCAGTCTGTTGGTAGAAATATTTACTGGACATCCCTCCATGCAAAGTCCAGTTCTGGGGACTAAGAAATTGATAGCCCTTCACATTTCCCAGAGGACAGTCTGGGTACAAATTATGGGTGCAGATTTGTGATCAGGTTTTTCCATTCAATAGGAAATACTTTACCGTTAAGATATAACGGGGAATACTCTACTGATAAGATAAAAATAAGCAAGGAAAAAATAGATGTAATGGAAATTGTTATTCAGTGACTATGGGAAGTGTCTGGTGCTGAGATAACCCCATTGACACTTACTAATGTACTTTTACTCATTAATATCACTGCACCCTAGTATAACCCTATCATGCTAGGGGAACTTCGTATGTTTTCATGTAAAAAGTGCATGTCCCAGTGGGCGTTTTGGCAGGGGAAGCCAATGGTGCTATTTACCAAGAAACGTCATAGCATGAATTCACTATAGTCTAGTGCAGGGCTGGGCACCTGGGTGGCTCAGTTGGTTTAAGCAACTGCCTTCAGCTCAGGTCATGATCCCGGGAGTCCCAGGATCAAGTCCCACATCAGGCTCCCTGCTCAGTGGGGAGTCTGCTTCTCCCTCTAAGTCTCTCCCCCCGCCCCAAATAAATAAATAAAATCTTTTTAAAAAAAAAAAAAAGCCTAGTGCAGGGCTTCTAAACCTGGGATCCTTGATTCTAAAAATCATACAAAAAATTTTATTTCTGTATATTTTTTTTCTGGAAGAAAAATCCTTAGTGTCCATTAGAACCCCCCAAAGGAAAAATACTTAATACTTAAGAAACTCAGTTTTTATCATACAAACTCTTGGCCCTTCGTTCAACATACATTTAAGTATCCTACTTACAATTTATGCCCCACACTACAGTAGGTCCTAAGGTACAGTGAACAAGTCCAGTCCTCTGTATTTTCTGGACTTATTGGCAAGTGGGGGGTGTGGAGTGGGGTATTTCAAGTAAAGTAATAGTCATTGCAGTACAGTGGTACAGAGTAAAAAATCTTATTCCAGGGAAGATTCCCAATTGAAGTAATGTTTGAGGTAAGACCTAAAATGTATACAGGAGTTATCTGGGCATAAAGTGGAGGCAACGGGTATTGGTGGGGTGGGGGTGGTGAGGAGACAGTACTTTCAGAGACCCAAATGCCAGAACTGAAAGATTATCCATATATATTTTTAGCCACTTTCCAAATTTCCTTTCCATGTAATTTTCACCTCTTTAACCAGAAATATTAATAAAGCCACATGCTCTACTAGTAACAGAATGTTAGAGATAGTGATGAAATAGATTTTTTTTCTCTTCTGATTTTGCACAATGTTAATTTTTTA